CCTGGGCAACTGTACATTTATCCTAATGCAAAATCATGCTTTATATGACAATTATGGTATTGGAATTCTTTAATTTATGTGATCTTAAAGTTTGTTAAGGTAAAGAATTAGGGGCACAGAGAGGAACAAATGAGGAATGGGAAACAATGCAGTTCAAAGCACAGGACTTTGCTTGGAAGATTTCTGGACATGAAACTTATTAATAAGGTCTCATCCTAAAATATTTAAATTCAAGGTTAAATTGATCTAGGAGCTCACCTTACAAAAGCCAAGTTGAAGCAACCTGAAGTATACAGAAAATAAAATTTGAAGAAGCTGATATTAAATAGACTGTCTTTATGATAGCTAAAAAAGAGAGCCGTTGTTTACAGAAAAATAGCTATCCTGGAAAACCACCATACCCCTTCCACCCTTTACAGAAATGTCTTGAAAATAACTGGTTGAGGAAAATCCGACCCATTCAATGATGAGTAAAAAGCCCAGAAATCTATAAAGAAACCATACGATTAAAAGGAAGAAAACCATAACAATTTATTAACATAAAAAAGAGTCATCAGAATAATGTGGTCCCAGAGCAGATGAAAATTGTACACACACAGTTGGCTATGGATTTAAAAAGCATAACAAAGCAATCATATCTATGAAGAACAGAAATGAAAGCTGAAATACAAGAACTCAAGGAAGAGATAAAAAGACAGCAGGAAATGAAACAGATTAAACTCATGAAGCAGCAGAAGAAAAAATATAATCAGAATTAAGGCAAAACGAAGGGATACAAGATTGGACAAACATTTTGGAAAATATGGTAAAGGACATAAGAGAAATTTTTTAAAATGAACAAAATGAAAGAAATTAAAAGGGATTAGCAGAGAAAATAGTGTATACAGAAGTAATGAATATAAACATAATGTGTATTTATAAATTATTGAGTCCCTAAAGAAATCTAAAATAATGAAATAGAGAAAAACATTTAAAAGTTAATTCAAGATTCAAGACCTAAAACAATCAAAATGGAGATGTATCCTAGTAAAGTCAATAAACCTCAAGGATAAAGAAACAAAAAATCTGTTAAGCAGCCTGTCAATCATTTTGAGAGGGGGAAAAAAGTCATGCACTCCTCAGACTTGTTCATAGAAACATTCGACACCAAAAGCAACAGAACCACATTAGCAAGTTCCTTAAGGAAAGAAAATATAAACCGAAGGTTCTCTATCCAGGTAAGCCTTCTTCTTCAAATATAAAGGCTATACATAACAGTTTTGAGTACCCAACAACTCAGGGAATATTGTTTCAATGAGCCCTTCTTGAGGAAATGAGAACAAATTTCAGCCAACCAGGAGATAATTCGGGCAATTATAGCAAAGGAACTGATGGAAACGTAAATATTATATATAACAGAACTAAGACAAACAAATGCAACCTATACCCTAATGTCAAATACTGAGAGAAACAGAGATGATACAACTAAAAAAATTGGGAAGGGAATGATCGGCAGGTGGGAGGTAGAAGTATTCTAATTATCTCATCTATTATAACTGTCAAAGGATAACATATATAACAATGAAGTTTTTTTTTTCAGGTGTACATCTTTATGATTCATCTGTATACTCTATTGTGTGCTCACAATCAGAAGTCTAGTCTCATTCCAACACCAAATATTTGAACCCCTTTACCCTCTTTGTCCTCCCCTCAACCCTCTCTCCCTCTAGTAACTAACCATTCTGTTGTCTGTAACTATGAGATTGTTTTTGTTTTGTTTGTTGATGTGCTTTAAATCCCACGAGTGAAATCATAAGGTTCTTGTCCTTTACCATCTGACTCATTTCGCTTAGCATAATACTCTCAAAATCATCCATGTTCTCCCAAATGGCAATATTTCATCTTTAAAACAATGAAGTTTTAATTGAAGTTTAAACATATTTAATAGTACAAAGGTATATTATTGACTAAAATTGGGTTGGGGGAGAGTAAACAATCTAATTTTATCATTGCTCATACAGGTCAACAATACACAAATGTATACCAGGCAAATGACAACAAAAATATAGCCGAGACAAAAGTCTTAATAGCAGTCTAGGTAGAATTTGGGTCACAAAGCAATAAACAAAACAAAGATAAATATTTTATAATGCTAGAAAGTACAATTCCGAATAAAGATATAACAATGATGTGCCAATGAACACAGAATCAACATTCATAAAGAAAAACTATTGGAGATATAAAAAGAGATACAGTGGGATGCATTATCAATTTACCTCTCTCTTTAATTCATGATACATTAAAGTGACTAAAATTATGTAAAAGTATGGAAGACCCAAATCACATAAGGTACAAGGTGGATATAACTGATATGTATCAAACTCTACACTCTAAAATACAAAATCTATCTTCTTTTCAAGTACCTATGGATCATTCTCAAAAATTGGTCATATATAAGATTACCAAAAAACTTTAATAGAAATTAATATACTGTAAGATTAACATTCTCTGACTACATAACTAAAAGTAAATGATAACAAAATATCCTTACCACTTAGATATTTTTAAATTCTCTATTAAACAACTCTTGAATCAATTAGGAAATACAAATATACTACTGAACATCAAGAAAATAATCATGAAAATACTACATATAAGAATTCCAGTGCCGGCCGAGTGGCTTAGTTGGTTAAGAGTTGGCTTAAGAGCACGAGCTCTGAGCAACAGGGCCGCTGGTTGGATTCCCACATGGGCCAGTGACGCTGTGCCCGAGCTGAGCTGTCGCTGAGCTGCCAACAGGTGGCAGGATGGCTTAGCGGGTTTAACAACAAAATTGCCTGTTCAGTGGTGAGCTATGCTCACCCGCAACTAAGACTGAACTCGGCACCTTAAGCTGAGCTGCTGCCTGGATGGCTCAGTAGATAGAGCGTGAGCTCTTAACAACAAGGCTCCTGGTTCAACTCCTGCATGGGATGGTGGCTACGCCCACATGCAACTAAGATTAAACAGCACCTTGAGATTAGAGGCCACAAGCTGCGGACAGGAAGCCAGATGGCGACTGGTGCCCTCTACAACGAAGACTTAAGAACAACAACTTGGCCGGTCCCCTCCCAACTCCCCAACACTGTTCCCCTCCCCCAATTCCCCAATAAAATCTTTAAAAAAAAAAGGATTATATTAAATTAATAAATTAACTTAGGGAGAAGTGATCTCTTTATGATGTTGAATCTTTTTATTCAGAAGTTGTTGTCTTCATTTGTACATTATTCTTTAGTATCCTTCAGTAATGTTTTATTCTTTTTTTTTTTTAAGATTTTATTGGGGAATTGGGGGAGGGTAACAGCGTTGGGGAATCAGGGAAGGGGAACAGACAAGTGTTGCTATGCAGCTGTCCAGCCATCTGTTCCCCTCCCCCCACCCCCGCACTTAACCCTAAACTGACATTTTTGAGGACACTGCTCATACACCTTGCGTCTCCCTGTTTGGCTCCAAAGGATGGCCAGTTAGTCAATGACGGGTAAGATTCCTCGTGGGAGGAACAACCTAAGACAGGCACGATCGGTTGGAGGCCATCAGGAGAAATCTTGGGGCTGATGGAGGTGGGCATGAGCCCTCACTTGCCCTCCAAATACACTGGAGGTTTTCTACCTCTGTAGCTACATTCCTTCCCTCAACCTGCTTGGGAAGTGACCTAATGGTGTGATAGTTTTTGTCCTCAGCGTAATAATCTTATCTTCCTGGCGTGTATGCATTTAGGGTGTGTGAAGGCAGAGCATCTGTCTTATCGCCATGGGCGGACTCTTGGTAATACCATCTTGCAGGCATGGGTAATCTGGCTTGAGCAAGTTCTCAGGAATGAGACTCACAGACTGTGGAGAGAACAATGCTACTTCCGGGTAGGTGGAGAAATAAAAGCGGTGTGTGTCGGCCCCATTCAGGGCTCTTAGTCCACGAGGCTGGAGACCCTTGGCCCCACACTCATTTAACTCTTGACTGCTGTTTCTTTTATTTCTTAACCCTTCGCCGCCCCCTCTCGTTCTCCCACTGCTCATGTTGTGCGGGACGCAACAGACAAGTTGCTGTCCTTTTGTTCTTCAGTCTGGTTGCGGAGGACGTCGCTTCACTGGCCTATGTTGGTATTATCATTGTGCTCTTTCCAGGTAAGGCAGATCAGTCGTCGGCCACTGGATGGCCGCTCATGGCAGCTCTTGGCATCTCATGCCGGCTGTCAGCCACTCACGGTAGCTCACAATAGCCTACTGCAACCCCACTGCAGCCTACGCCGTCGCCAGAAACTCATGGCAGCCCAGCTCCATGTTGAGCTGTTGTTCATCATCTTAGCTGTAGAGGGCACAGCGTCACTGGCCCTAATGTGGGATCCAAACGTGGGCCCTGGGGCTCTGAGCTGGCGTCCCAAGCCAACTCTTAACCAACATGCCACATGGCTGGCCCTATATCGTATTTTTTAAAAATATGATAATTAAATATTATCATATTTACAGTAACAAAATATAGAAAAGACATTTATCTTCTATCTGGTTATTGTTTATATATAGGAAATATATTGATTTCCATATGTTAATTTTATATCCTGCTACTTATTATATGTCTGTAGAGAATTTTATATCCTGCTACTTATTATATGTCTATAGAGGTATTTCAATTGATATTCTTGGATTTTCCTAATACGCAATTTGCAAAACGTAATAGACTTACCCCATCTTTTCAATTTTTATAACTCCAATTTCTTTCTCTAGTTTATTTTTGTTGTTGGTTAGCACGTTCAATACAAAGTTAAATAACAGTGATAAAACTTAGTTATTTTGTTCCTTACTTTAGAGGGAATGCTTTCAATGTTTCTCTTTTAAGCATAATGATGAATAACCACCTTTTAAATAACAATTTTCTAATGCTGATTATTGAAACACAGGTTATCAGAGTCCGTTAGTACCAACATATTTGGTTTGACACACAAAAAAGCATTACCTGTAATTTTAAAATTATTTCTCCTTTCTACTTACTTTATAGTATCTGCAAAGCTGACTCGACGAGAGCTTTTCCTATTTCTCAAAGCACTGGGCTCCTAAGGGCAGAGAATATATGGTATGATTGTTAATGTAACCACTGTGAATTGGGTCTCCAGAGTACTATAGACAGATCAAGTCTTATTCTGAATTAATTTAATATTATTATTTTGATTATTATTAATTTGATTCCCCAAAATATATCAGTGTAGAAGCACTTAACAAACATGAATATAATTTTCAATATGAGTTATAATAAGCATACTGACACAAGCAACATATATTTAAGGAAGGTAATTATTGCCCCTTACCTTTGGTCTGTTTTAAATGAATGGTTATTTTGCTATTAAGATGAAAGACTGGGGACAAAGAAAGTGATATGTTGCCTGTTAATGGTTATCTTACTACTATTTTTAAGATTTAAAAGAAAATGTAACTGTAGTAAAATAAACAAATAAAATTTACCATCTTAACCATTTTAAAAATATTTTTTATTTTTTTTAGTTATAAAGTTTACTGGGCAACAATTGTTAGTAAAGTTACATAGGTTTCAGATGTACAATACATCACCTATATATCACATTGTGTGTTTACCATCCAGAGTCAGTTCTCCTTTCATCACCATATATTTGATTTAAAATGTTTTATTTTTATTTTCTTGTGGTAAAACACTTTACAAGAGATCTACCATCTTAACAGATTTTTTAAAGGTATAATACAATATTATTAACTATAGGCACAGCGTTGTAGAGATACCTAGAACATATTCATCTTGCATAACAAACTTTATATCCATTAACTAGCAATTCTCCATTTTCTCCTCCTCTTTGCCCCTGGCAACTGCTGCTCTTCTGCTGTCTGCTTCTATGAGTTTGACTATTTTAGATACCTCATATAAGTGGAATTATTCAGTATTTGTCCTTCTGTGACTGGCTTATTTCACTTAGCCTAAAATACTCAAACATCTTAACCATTTTTAAGGGTACAGTTCAGTAAAGTACATCTGCATTGTTATGCAACCAATCTCCAAAACTGTTTTTCATCTTGCAAAGTTGAAACTCTATATCCATTAAACAATTCCCCATTCCCCACTAACCTTTCTGTAACCACCATTCGATTTTGTCTCTATGAATTTGACTACTCTATGTACTTCATAAGTGGAATCATAAAGTGTTTGTCTTTTTGTGCGTGCTTTATTTCACTTAGCATAATGGCCTCAAGGTTCATCCATGCTGTGATATATGCCATAATTTTCTTCTTTTTTAAGGCTGAATAATATTCCATTGACACCACATTTTTTGTTTATCCATTCATTAGTCAATGGACACTGGGTTGCTTCTGCCCTTTGACTACTGTGCATACTACTGCTATGAACAGAGGTGTACATTTCTTCAAGATCCTGTTTTCAGTCTTTTGGATACATACCCAGAAGTGGAATTGCAGGATCATATGGTAATTCTATTTTAATTTTTTGAGGAACCAACATACTGTTTTCCATAGCAGCTGCACCATTTTACATTTCCACAACAGTGCACAAAGGTTCCAATTACTCCATATCCTAGCCAACATTTGTTATTTTCTATTTGTTTGATAGTAGTCATTCTAATGAGTATGAAGTGACATTTCATTGTGCTTTTGATTTGCATTTCCCTAATGATTAGTGGTGTTGAGCATCTTTCATTATAATATACTATTTTTATTTTCCTTCATATTCCTTAACAAGAACAAACATTTTTACTCACATAGATATCAAACACAAAAAGCAAGACAGAGAAACAAACAAAATCCAAAGAATTTTACTGTGTTAATTCTGAATACCTGAACATAAGTCTTATTATAACAAAGAATCAGGAATGTTCATCTTCTCTGTTAAGACCCTAACAGATGCTGTAGGTGGCCTCAAGCTTAATATGACAATAACACTGACATAGTAAATACTGGGACTAAAAGAGACTTACATATTTCTTTTTAACAACTTTAATGCAATGTCTTTTTATTCCATAAAAGCTTTCTGTACTTAAGTCTCTAAAGGGCTAAAGTGAAGTATTCAGCATGAAGGATAAAAAGACATATGTGACAAGCAACTTTTCAGCTGTGTTACTTCCCTCAGTACTGATCTTCAAAATGCAAATTCCACTCTCCTCACTATTCTTGGAAGGCATGGTGGATCTAGACAATGTGGCCTTCCTTACACAGACTAGGTCTGCATTCCTCTAAAGGGATTTATATCCACTTCTTTCTTGAACTGCAGCAGTCTTTGTAAACGAATTTTGACTAGTTCTGTCAGAAGAGATAGGAAGGGAAATTGCTAGAATATTTCAAGTCTTCAATGGCTGGGGCTTTCTACTGCTCTTCAACAGTATTCTCAGATCCAAATATTAGTATATTTCTTAATAGAAAAAGAAAAACCAATTTGTGTGGTATATAGAAAAGGGCTTAGTGCTTAATTAGGAGATTTGAGCTCCAGTTGGAAGCCACTAACTAGTTGTGTGGGCTTAGACAAAACATTTAACCTCTTTGTACCTCATATTTCTCATCTATAAAATGAAGAAGCTAGTTTCAAGATTACTGGTGTTGACCTGTTCGTTTTAAAATCCTTTGAGTCTATGAATCTGTCACTTAAATAATTCAAAATTCATTAAAAGTTTTTTTTTAAATATACACACACACCAGATCTTGGTGTGAAAAATAGTGGTTAAAAAAATACAGGGCCAGCCAAGTGGTGCGTTGGTTAAGAACTGGCTTGGGATGCCAGAGGGTCCCGGTTCAGATCCCACATATGAGTGCCAGTGACGCTGCCCTCTACAGCTAAGATGCTGAACAACAGCTCGACCTGGAGCTGGATTGCCGTGAGTCACTGGCAACGGCGTAGGCTGCAGCCCCTGCTGCAGTGGGTAGCCATGGGCTACCATGTGTAGCCAGCAGCCAGCATGAGCGGCCCTCAAGCCACCGTGAGCCGCCGTCCAGATGCCGGCGACTGATCTGCCTCGCCTGGGAAGAGTGCAATGATGGTGCCAACTTGGGCCAGTGAAGCAACGTCCTCCACAACTAGACTGAAGAACAAAAAGATAGCAACTTGTCTGTTCCCCTTCCCCTAATTCCCCAATAAAAATCTTAAAAAAAAATATATATGGCCCCTACTCTACTACTCTACTGGGGATTCATGGTTAAAACAGATACTAAAACAAAAAATCCATACAAATATAAAACTTAAAGTATGATGAGTGGTATGAAGGAAAATTACATAAAAAAACTAATTTAGCCTGAGAATCAGGAAAGATTTCTTTGAGAAAATATATTTAAGTTGAAACCTGAAGGATTAGTTAGTAGTCAGCTAAAGAGTTGGGTCGAGACAAACCATTCTAGGCAGAATGTGTGCAGAGGCCCTCACGCAGGAAAAAGCTCGATGTATTTGAGAAATAGAAAGGCCAAAGTAGAGCACTCAGAATTATATGATCTCCAAAACTATATGCATTGCATCAATCAACAAAATGTACTGAAAGCCTACTATGTACCAGGCACAATAAATTTAGAAAACATACAGTTAAGTTCCTGTCCTCAGGGAACTCTCAATTTAGAATGGACCTTAGTAAATAATTACGATAGAAAATATTGAGAGATGATTTTCTCAGACAAATGATTCCAAAGCTGAGTCTCAAAAGATAAATAGAAATTACCAAATAAAGAGGAATACAGATTTATGATAAAGTATGATAAAATATTAATTGTAGAATCTAGGTCAGCGGTTTTCAACCTTCCTAATGCCACAACCCCTTAATACAGTTCTTCATGTTGTGGTGACCCCCGACCATAAATTTTCGTTGCTACTCTAACTGTAATTTTGCTACTGTTATGAATCATAATGTAAATATCTTTTTGTTTTAGGTGACCCCTGTGAAAGGGTTGTTCGACCGCCAAAGGGGTCGCGACCCACAGGTTGAGAACCGCTGATCTAGGTGATGGCTTTATGAGCATTCACTAGAAATGTCTTTCTACCTTTAAGCATGTTTGAAAAAACATTTTAATAAAATGTTGGGAGAAAAAAAAAAATGAAGGACTAGCCATCTAGGCAGAGGGAGCATCATATGTAAACACTTGCAGGCTTGACAGTTCATGTTTTGTCTGGGGAATAGTAAGCAATTCCGAATGGTGAGATAAATGTGTCAAAGTGGCAAGAAAAAAGGCTGGAAAGTAAATAGGGGTTAAAAACCACGAGCGCCAGCTTACTCAGTGTTTGGATTTTAACCAGAAGGCCATGGGATGCTTACTTGTACATATTTAACTGAGAATCATTTATAATGTTTTCTCTTCATATGGCTAATAAAGTTCCTGTCTATTAAAAATATCAATGAAAATAGTCATCTATAAAGCATTTGCACTAAAAACTTACCTGAACTATTTCGTTCCCACTTCTGAGGTCCTGAAGAGGGCTCCTTGGGGGTTTCAAAATCTAGAAGAGAATTATTCAAGAAAATCTGGCTTATTTATTAATTACCAGTTTATTTCAAATTATACCAGGAATAGAGAGGTAGAGATGCTAAAATTCCTGTAAAAACCTCTAAAACTCCTCAAATTCATACTGTTCAGTGCTATACTTTGTGGCTTGTTTAAATATTTGGTATCTATTCCCTTCCCTCCCTGTCCACCTCCCCTAATTATTTTGCCAACTCTTATCCCATGGTCTGGGTGAAGCCCCGTCCCAACCTAGGGTAAAATATACAGCCCTGGTCTAAGACATGATATATCTCAGCAATAGTGATTGGTTCAGGGGGCCAGCCAAGTGGCGCATTGGTTAAGAGCTGGCTTGGGACGCCAGCTCTGAGCAGCAGGGCCCCGGTTTGGATCCCACATGGGGGCCAGTGACACTGCCCTCTACAGCTAAGATGGTGAACAACAGCTCAACCTGGAGCTGGGCTGCCGTGAGTGGCTGGCGACGGCTGCCGTGAGTGGCTGGCGACGGCTGCCGTGAGTGGCTGGCGACGGCGTAGGCTGTAGCCCCTGCTGCAGTGGACTGCCGTAAGCTACAGTGTGTGGCTGGCAGCCAGCATGAGCAGCCAGCAGCCGCAGTGTGCGGCCGTCCAGAGGCCGGCGACCGATCTGCCTCACCCGGGAAGAGCACAATGATAATACCAACATGGGCCAGTGAAGCGACGTCCTCCACAACTAGACTGAAGAACAAAACGACAGCAACTTGTCTGTTCCCCTTCCCCATATTCCCCAGCAGTGTTCCCCTCCCCCAATTCCCCAATAAAATCTTTAAAAAAAAAACAAAACAAAACAAAAAAGGTTAACAATTAACTTAAATTAAGTGTTTCTTACTGAAGAACGTCGTCTTCTAACAGGTCTCTCTATATTGTCCCTGAAAGAGGAAAACAAAATTTACATACATATTGATAAAAGGCTGAATTTTCAAAAGCCATCATCGTAGCATCCCTTACATGCTTTTAAATTGGTCATCACTTTCGCTTAACACGTGGCATCACTTTCACTTACCACAATTTATAACACTTTAAATTCAATATTTAGGAAGTCAGTGTTTTAAAATACATGTTATATACTACAATACTATCTCTTGAAACATAATCAATACAACAAAATTTAGCATATTTACAGAGGTACATTTATAAGATAAATGGGCTATAAATCAAGAGATTCTAGCTCTGGTTTTACTACTGTGTGATTTTTAGACAAGGTTTTGAAAATTCAAATGCCTATGGAGGATAAACACATAATTTAGTAAGTGCAAAAAAAATGGGTGAGGTGGAGACTATAATGAAGAGTTCCTGCCTAGCCTAAAGGTCATAGCCATTACTTCACTCAGATTAGTTGTTGTCAAGCAAGAATATAAGCCCAGTGTTGCCACAGTCGATTTTTCAAGAGAAGCTGAAAATCTAACTTTTATATGAAATCTTAAGATTTTGAAATTTAGCAACTAATTCAAAAATTAAAAAACATTTTTAGTTTAGGAAAACATTTTTAGTTTAGGAAAAAAATTATGTCTGATTGTAAACAAGCCACCAGTTTGTGATACCAACTTTAGACAAATCATTTCATTTCCTTTGGCCTCAATTTTCTCATCCTTAAATTGAAGAGATGGGAGGTGGTCTCTAAAGCCTCTCACACTTTTGACTCTAGATGAGTTTATATAAGCTATGGCAAGGAGGGCTATGACTTGGTAACATTTACTTCTTTTCTCTAGAAGAGAAAGGAAACATTTCAGAAGTTATCAATAGCTCTTATTAGTTGAAAAAGTATCTTTCTCTGATAAAGAGTTTAACATTTTTAGCTGCATTGCATGAACTTACTTTTCTTCATTAGTCTCTGAAGACATCCCATCCATTTTTGAAGAAAACCTTTTCTGTAACAAATACAATATTAGAAAAGGTGAGAAAAAAGGAAGAGAAAGAACAATCTGAAGAGATTAAGAACAGGGTTGTGACTTCAATATTTCTTTCTGGGTGAAGACAAAAAGGAAAAAAAAAAGTAGGAAAAGCTACCCTATGGGACTACAAGACATGAAAAATTTTGAGTTTAACTACGCACTGTTATAATCAAAACTCCTGGAAAATCCTCATATTTAAAATCAGTGACTAACTGAATGGGATGATATGGACTCTAGTGGTTAAAATAAAAGTTTGCCCTAGTTTATAAGAGTTGATGGATTAAATAGCTCAATCCCAAAATAAAGTCAATTAAGTATTAAAATACAGTGGATTTGCATAATATGCATATTTACCTAATGAAAATTCAACTATAAGTACTCAGCAAAAATATTTTAAGACAGAAAAATAACATTTTGAACAGTGCAGCTAATTACGCTTACAATTCCACCCAATTAGTGCTTGTCTTGGAAAAAGTGTGAAATAAAAGGCATAGTCTGATGCTTCTTTGACTGGTCTTAGCTCCTACCTACCCATAACTGTACTAAGTTTTACTTTTTGCATTACCTTTAGGCCCTTACCCCTGGATAAGAAAAAATTCCATTTCAGTAAAAAAAGATTTCAAAAAAAAAAAAAGAACATCTAGAGATTTGACTCAACAATATCAGCATGTCTACCACAACACTAAATTAATACCATATCCTTAAATTGTTAGAATCAATGTGATTGTTAGCAACAACTAAAAACAAAAAAACAAAAAACATATCTTATTTTACATGCTTTCATCATGCATAACAAAAATCAAAGTAGGGAACGATTCTTCATAATGAACCTGAAATTCACAGTGAAATAAAAGTCTGCTTATTTTTTAGTATCAATTTATTCAACTAGTTACCAATACAGATAACATGACAGGCATCTTCTAGGATTTGATGTCTGACCTTCTCCCTTTTGTCCTCCATCATTTTCTCAGTCTGCTTTTCCATTCTTCTGGTTTCACTTACCTCCTGTTCACAGGTAACACCCATATCTACTTAGAATCATATTTTTAAATTTTAGCTTTTGCACACAATGTAAGAAGTTAATTTTACAAGATTGGTTTTTTAAAACAGCTTCAATTTCCTCCTTCTCAAAATCAACACTTCCATTATGTTAAGCTAATTATTTTGGATTTAAAATTTCCTTGCAACCACCTCCAGAGTTCTTCCACCCAGAAAAATACAGTACAAGAAAAGATTTCACTACCATAAATATAAAAATCCTAAATAAATAGCAAAAGGAAGCCAGCAATTTGTAAAAAGTATATATAGTATGTCATTGTCATATTGATTTTATTCCAGAAATGCAAAATTGGTTTAACATTAGAAAATTAATTTTACTATTTATCATACTAACAGATTGAAAGGGAAAAATCACAAGATCATCGCAACAGATTAAAAAAAAGTTTGAACTTTAACATCCTTTCATGTTTAAAAAAAAGAAAAACTTAGCAAACTAGGAATAGAAAGTAAATTCATTAATCTAACACATAGTATCTATTTAAAAAACCAACCATCAACTTAATTGTGCAACTTTGAAAACTTTCCCTCTAAGATCAAACAAATATGACAGCTATTTCCACTTCTATCATCAAGTCTTAGTAGTTCTATTTCCAATATATATCCCAAATCTATTCACTTCTATATTCAGAGCTACCACCATAGGTCAAGCTATCGTTATCTCTCACATAGAATACTGCAATACTCACTTCACTGGCCTCCTTGCTTTTTCACTCTTATCTCCTCTACATTCCTTTCTCCATATACTAGGCACTTATCTTCTTAGATATAAATCATACTTAACACAGTTCCTTATTTCAGTGGCTTCCCATCTACTGAAATAAACTCTTCACCAGGACCTACAAAGCTCAACAAAATCTGGTCCTTGTTTGCCTCTCAGACTTCATACTTCATCTCATACCACTGTCTTCCTCACTCACTATGCTAGCCACACTAGCATTTCTTTCTGCACACACAAAGCTCTTTCCTGAGTCACTGAATTTATATTTGATATTCTCTCTTGGCAAGAAAGCCAAGAAAAGCACTCTTTGTAGCACTATGTATGTCTCTTTTGTAGCATTTCCACACAGTAATTTAAGTCTGTCATGTAAATTAATTATTCCTGTTATCTCCCAAACTACCCTTGCCCCAACAGTAAACTCTGTGAGAAAAGGGCTAGTGCTTCTTATGTTCACTGTTATATTCTGAGAACCGAGCACAGTGCCTTGTAAAAAATAAAAGCTCAATAAACATTTGCTGAATCAGTAATTAAGAAATTCTTTAAAGTTACCTTTATGGTAATTTCCACATATGGGAATATTTTCAAATTCAGTGATATACTCAAAATTCACAGATAAAGATATTAAATACTATCAAATTAGGACCACCTATACATCTTCCCTGTTTGAAAGTCATTGAGAATCATTCCTGTCTAATCTACAGACCAGTTGACACTTAATTGATGAGATTCAAAAATTATTAGTCTTTTAAAATATTCTGTTTATTACATAACTGTAAGTTCCATCTTCAACAGAAATAGGAGGCTCCAGATCCCCAATGTTAAGCCTCATTTATAAAATGCTATTATGGTTGAACTCTTGATAACTGCCACATTAGTTTGATTATTGATTGGTTTCAAAACTGTACCTGGAACCCAGGGATGCTACAGCATACTCATAGAGGTGTCCTGGGATATTTTAAATGTTTGAGAGAAACAACAATTTTCAATATCTGTCAGGTACTATTGTGAACTACTAGCTCAAAATAGTACCCATTCACATTACATTAGTGTTAACATATTACTGACAAGCTGAATCTTCAGCAGATGATATAAAGCAGTTCTTTTAATCAATGCGGCGCAGGAAATAAGGGAGGCAGAGTCCAATCTGATTCCAAGATTTGAGAAGTTGTGCAGTGTTCAACAGGCATGCATATCCAATTAGTAAATAATTGTATTTATTAAGAATAAAATAAAGATATTATCTTTTCCTTCAATGTATACATATTATTTTTTCAAATGGCTACTATGTGGTCAGGTCATAAATTTATTTCAACTTAATAACTTTTTAAGTTGTTTGGCCCAAACTACTTAATAAATGGAACTGTTAGGTATTTCTTTTGACCTAAGGGCACCACGAGCCAAGAAAGTTTGGGAACTACTAGTCTAAGTAACTCAGAGGTCTGCAAACTATGGCTACTGGGCCAAATGGGCCCTTACAAGTGTTTTTTTTTTTTGGCTTGTTTTTTACATTTTGAATGGGTTGTAGAAAACAATAAAAAAAAAACAAATAAAAAGAGAATATGTGACAGAGACCATGCCAGTGATGATGTAGCCTGCAAAGCCTGAAATATTTACTTTCTGGCTCTTGGTTCACTCCTGCATTTACACACCAATAACTCGAGTTAATACATAGTGTCCCCTGATATAGGCTCTAGGCCTGTGCTGTACAATACAGTAGATATTTAAATGTAAATTAATTAAAATAACATTTAAAATTCAGTTTTTTAGCCACATTTCAGGTGCTCAGTAGTCACATGTGACTAATAACGGGTACTGAGCACCACCATTATCACTGAAAGTTTTATTGGATAGCCATCCTATCAATACCTAGAATATCTTCTAGTCTCTTATTTAGCATCAAACATCATTAATATTAACACTTCAGTTTTACTCAGTTTTCATCGATTTGTCATCTTGTAACATTTCCAGCTGCCCACATAGTCAAGATGAATGATACTGCTTTGAACCTAATTAGCAAAATCTTACGACATATTATTATCTCCGTAAATCATTCTTCCCTTCAAGTTACACCGCAAACACCGCTTTCTCCATGAAGCCTCCTTTAGTCTCCATTGTTAAAGGTATCAAATAAGCTCTCCCTTCTGTGTGTTCCCATGCCACTTTAAAATGTCCTATAATCCTTTACATTGTCTTAGTTATTTGTGTATATTAATTATTTCCTTTTCTAGACTGAAAACTCTTTTTAGAGTAAGGACCCTGAATCATTTGCTCCCAGCCCCAGTACAAGGGAGGAACGCAATAAATCTCTGAGGAATTCAATTGATCCAATTCAACTGAAGTGAAAACTTCAATCTTAACATCTAGAGTAAGCTTTGCTTTATTTAGTCTTCTCTGTCATATCTCTATTAATTTACCTTTAAAGTCCCAATCGGCAATTAAAAAATGTTTTTTTCTATTGAAATAAAAAGCAAGAAAAGGGACTTTAACTCTGAGCTAACAATGGGCAAAGGAAGATTTTAAAAACTTATTTGTGGCGTACTAATACTGGCTTCTTTGCTCATGTTATTACATCTGCAGTTACAGCCCTGCAAGACATTGTAAATAAACCACAAGCCGAAAGTTTAAAATCACTTACTGCTACTGTCACTTCATTTATAGCTGAGATGATTGAGTCAGAAATACAAACAGCCGAGAGAGTTCCTTAGGGAAGAGCGGCAAGGATGCGAGAAGAGAGTCGCGGAGCCAGGACAGGAGGAGGAGGGCGGGGCGCCGCGGATCCGGACGCTGAGAGAGTCAGGGACCAGAAAGCCGAGGCCGGCCCGAGAGGCCCAGATGTGGATGGAAAGTGCTGGGGAGAAGGAAAGAGCACAATGTGCAGGCCCGTTGAGGAAAGAGTGCCCCGCGCACCCAGGGAGAGGCTTCTACCTTGGGCCCAGCGCTTTCGGGGGCTGAGGGAGCCACCTCCCACCGCTGGACGTTCAGACAAAACCTAAAGCCTCCTCCCGCCCAGGAGCCCAGAACGAAAGGGTCATTTTCTTTACCCGTCGCAGCCTTCTGCTTGACAAATTCTCCTCAGACTTGTTTGGGGTCCGCGCTCCTCAGAGAGGAAGCTCACCGCTCGACGTCACCTCGCAGCGTCCAGACTGCCTCCGTGAAGTATTCAAATCTAACCGCCTAGATGATGCGCATGCGCAAAGTCACTCTCTGCGTCGGCTCCGCCCCTTAGGAGCTAGACCACCCCTATTCCTAAGACTTCTGTAATCGAACTTCCTTTCCAGCCTGTATGCCAATTTTATTTTCTTCAAGGTTTCTCATTTTCTACCGAATTTTCCTTGTTTCCCCCATTGCAACTCCCACATAACATGGGAGCGGCCATCTTCTTTTGATTACTTGCTATAAAAACTATTGGCTTTTTGCTTCCGTACAAAATGGCGGCCTCCATAATATTGCGTCACATCCCCCTAGTATTACTCCCTATAGCTACCAGGAAAGGGTAAGCTTCAGGGACGAGGTGGCCGAGTGGTTAAGGCGATGGACTGCTAATCCATTGTGCTCTGCACGCGTGGGTTCGAATCCCATCCTCGTCGGAGGTGACTTTTGCCTCAACTAAGTGTAAATTTATTTGCAAAGTGGAAATAGCTTCTAGCACCATCGATCTCGTTTGACATATTTAAAAAGCGGCTTTTGGAGCATTCTGACCTGACAGATAAAGAAAAGGGCGTTTTCTGGGAATCAACAGATTTAATTTATTTTTATATAAAGTAAACAATACATAGAATTCTGTGATTATTACTAGTCCCATATATGTCAATGCTGATCTGTTCCATAATAAGTAACCTAGCTCCTGATTGAGGGGCTTCAATTATTGTGGACTCTTACCCCGGAGTTTTTAATAACTGGCCTTACTATGAAATAACAGGTTTCACTTCAAAAGCTACCGCGAGACAATGTCCAGTCCCCAGCAGGCTGCAGGTGCTCAAGAAAAATATACAGTGGGAAACTGAAAAGATGTTGACAACATGTGGAACGTTGGTAGTACGTTATCTAGAAGCCAGAGACTGAAGACCTGAAACATGGCTACCTTCCCAGAGAAGAATGTTAAATCCTCTCTTGGATTTAAGCGGAGTGGGAGACATAAGAAGCAGATAAAGAAGAGAAATTCCAATCTTGAAAGGTCATCAGGCAAATTCATTCGACTCACATTTAACAACCTTTGTCCATTATTTATCTACATTTACCACAATGAAATACACCACTCGCCGTAACCCTGTGATCACGATAGACATTTTTATTACTCCATTTTACAGATGAGGACGCTGGAAAATAAACTTGCCCAA